TAGTCATATCAATTGATGCAGAAAAAGCATTTGATAAAATTCAACACCCTTTCCTGATAAAAACTCTCAACAAGGTGGGAGTACAAGGATCATACCTCAACATAATAAAAGCTATATATGATAAACCCACAGCCAACATCATACTCAATGGGCAAAAACTAAAACCATTCCCTCTAAGAACAGGAACAAGACAGGGATGCCCACTTTCGCCACTCCTCTTTGACATAGTACTGGAAGTACTAGCCATTGCAATTAGACAAGAGGAGGAAATAAAAGGCATCCAAATTGGAAAAGAAGAAGTAAAGCTATCCTTATTTGCAGATGACATGATATTGTACATAAAAAACCCAAAAGACTCTATTAAAAAACTAATTGGCTTAATAAATGAATTTGGCAATGTAGCAGGATACAAAATTAATGCCAAGAAATCTATGGCATTTCTATACACCAACAGCGAATTTATAGAAACAGAGACTAAAAAAGCAATTCCATTTACCATCGCACCAAAAAAATTAAGATATCTAGGAATAAATTTAACTAAGGAAGTAAAGGACCTATATGCGGAAAACTACACGACACTGAAAAAAGAGATAGAGGAAGATGTAAACAGATGGAAGAACATACCATGTTCATGGATTGGTAGAATCAACATCATCAAAATATCCATACTTCCTAAAGCAATCTATAGGTTCAATGCACTCCCCATTAAAATACCAACGGCATACTTCACTGACCTAGAAAGAACTCTCCAAAAGTTCATTTGGAACAATAAAAGACCCCAAATAGCCACAGCAATCCTGAGAAAGAAGAGTAAAGTAGGAGGGATCTCAATACCAGACTTCAAACTGTATTACAAAGCCACTGTTCTCAAAACAGCCTGGTACTGGCACAAAAACAGACATATAGATCAATGGAATCGAATCGAGAACCCAGATATCAACCCAAATCACTATGCTCAATTAATATTTGACAAAGGAGGCATGAATATACAATGGAGTCAAGACAGTCTCTTCAATAAATGGTGTTGGGAAAATTGGACAGATACATGCAAAAGAATGAAACTGGATCACCAACTTACACCATACACAAAAGTAAACTCAAAATGGATACAGGACTTAAACATCAGACGGGAAACCATAAAAATACTAGAAGCATCCACGGGCAGCAAAATCTCAGACATATGCCAAAAGAACTTCTTCACTGATACTGCCCCTAGGGCAATGGAAGCTAAAGAGAAAATAAACAAATGGGACTACATCAAAATAAAAAGCTTTCTTACAGCAAAAGAAACCATCAACAAAACAACAAGAAAGCCCACAATGTGGGAGAACATATTTGCAAATGTTACCACTGATAAAGGTTTAATCTCCAACATCTACAAACAGCTTATACAACTAAATAAAAGGAAGATGAATGATCCAATTAAAAAATGGGCAATGGACCTAAATAGAATATTTCCAAAAGAAGACAGAAGGAAGGCCAAAAGGCACATGAAAACATGCTCAAAGTCACTAATTATCCGAGAGATGCAAATCAAAACAACAATGCGGTACCATCTCACACCTGTCAGAATGGCCAACATCAACAGATCAACAAACGACAGGTGGTGTTGGCGAGGTTGTGGAGAAAAGGGAACCCTCGTGCACTGCTGGTGGGAATGCAGACTGGTGCAACCACTGTGGAGAACAGTGTGGAGTTTCCTCAAAAAACTGAAAATGGAACTCCCATTTGACCCAGTAATCCCACTCCTAGGAATATATCCCAAGAAACTAGAAACACCAATCAGAAAGGATATATGCACCCCTATGTTCATAGCAGCACAATCTACAATAGCTAGAATTTGGAAACAGCCTAGGTGCCCATCAGCAGATGATTGGATCCAAAAACTTTGGTACATCTACACAATGGAATACTATGCTGCCATAAAAAAGAAGGAATTCTCATCATTTGTAGCAACCTGGATGGAAATGGAGAACATCATGCTGAGTGAAATAAGCCAGTCATTGAAAGAAAAACACCACATGACTTCACTCATTTGTGGATAATAAAGAACATTATAAACTGATGAACCAAAAGATAGATATAAAGATAGTATATCAACAAGCAGACTGTCAAATTACAGCAGGGAGGGGAGGAAGATCTGGGGGAGATAATAGATCAATCGAAGGACTTTTATACATGCACATAAGTACAACCATTGGACATAAAACTCTGGGGAGGGAAGGGGATGTGAGGGAGGGAGGGAGGGGGGGCAAAAAAAAAATCAAAAAAATATATATATATTTAAAAAAAAAAAAAAAAAAGACTGAAGAAAGGACCTCTTTTCCACTATTTTGAATGCTTAATAGCTAATTTCATAACATCACATGTACCATTTTAAGAAAGTGATGATTTAGTGGGAAATTAATGCTTTGCATCTGTATACTGTAAATATAAATGACGATTTGTTTGAAATGTGTAACTTGGATATGCAAAAGATAATAACTCACAATGTTAATATTAAATATTCCTTCAAAAAAAAAAAAAAAAAAGTCAAAGAGTTTAAGTAAGCTAACTTGCATAGTCACTTAAAATTCGCATCTACAGCCAAAACAGTCCAACTCCTCTATTTAAGCACTATGTTATATTGCCTTACAACTCAAGTGTAGTGAATATATGTTGTTTTTGCCTTTGTAGTGGTCTGTCAATTATAGTACTCTGTGCCTCACAGCAATTATAGCACTTAGTGCCCCATAGCATAAAATGCATGACCTGAAGTTAATCAATTAATAATGTCTCTATCCCCAGAAATAGTGATTAGCCTAATATGTGGGAATGTAAACAAAGCAGAAACAGTCAGAGTCCTTCCCTGGAATTCCTATATGGACACTAGAAGAAAGAAGTTTGTGTTGTTTTTTTTGTTTTTTGGGTTTTTTTTTTTTTTTTATCAGAGTTGGGTTAATTGTGATGAATTAGCCATCAGCAATCTTCCTCTTAAACCTAATAGAGGTTAACTATCAGCAGTTTAAAAAAAAGAAAAGTGTGATAAGGATAGCATCTATGAAACTAGTTGACTTCCCTTTTACATAAGTCAATAAATTTATTTTATATTCAAGCTAGTTTAAGTTGAATTTGTTATTTATAACCAAAGACAGAATGCTTAATTAAAATGAAATAGTGGAAGTTGGAGAGGTTTAATAAGAGTGATGGAAAGAAGTTAGAAATAATGAAGAAAAGAAGCAACAGATAAAGAGACTTGCCTAATAGAGACAATAGATTTACAAGAGAGAGCATTTCTGGCAGAGAATCAAAGACAGCTGAGCTACATAGGATCTAGAAAAACACCAGAAAAAAATTTTTATGACTACAGATTCTGTATATTAAGAACAATAAAGATCTCATTGAACACTAAATCTCAGCTTTGGTCCCCAAAGTGTCAAAGGTAAGTCTACAAACATAATAAAATACGTTGTATTGTGAAAATAACTTGCACTCATCAGGAATTATTCCAACTGCAATGCTGCCTACTTGGTTTAAAGCAATAGTCCCCCTCCCCAAAAAAAACAGGAGTATTTTCCAGAGGGATGAGATAAATTACATGATGGGAAGGGCCTTACTAAAGGGAAGTGCACTGGTTAGATAAGGTTCCAGAGTACTTACCTGGCATAGTCCCACAGATGGAGGTTATAGTAGGAGGCCAACTGTGAGGCAACATACTACCAAAACAAGTTGAAATAATTCTGTAATATAGGTCAAATTCGCTAAAGGAAAGTGCTTGTTGATAGCTGCTATTCCCTAAAGAACAAGAACTTCAATTTCAACTAATCTGCAAGTGTAATAACTAGTTTCCAGGAAGCTAGACCTAAAGAAATCCATGCTTTCTCTATGGGTCTGCCTCTTGTATACTCTAAGAAACCTCCTTATTACCTAAAATATTTTTTCTTTTATTTAAACTAGAAGCCTATTGTACGAAGATTCATGCAATAGTCCTCCCTTCCCCTGGCTGCTGCCACTGGTTTTCCTCTGGCAACCGGGACCCAAGCTACAGCAGACTCAAGCCTTCAGCCTTCAGCTTGGCTCCAGCCACAGTGGAGCCTTCAATCTTCAGTCTTCAGTCTTCTGTCTTCGCTCAGGTGGAGCCTTAAGTCTTCAGTCTGTGCAGCATATGCAAATTAATCCACCATCCTTGTTGGGTTAATTTGCATACTCACTCCTGATTGTCCAGTGGGCATCACAGAGGTACAGTCAATTTGCATTTTTCTTTTTTATTAGTGTAGATATATCAAGGCTCATCTTCTACACTAATAGAAGAGAAACATGCAAATTAACCATCATTCCACTATGCCCACCAGCCAATCAGGAGGGAATATGCAAATTAGAAGGGCAAAGATGATGGCCACCCAGCTGATCCAGGCAAGGGAGTGGCCGGGCGGGGCAGGACACCTGCTATGAGAGGTAGGGTGTGGGGTCCAAGGGATCTACAGGAGGGGCACTCCCGCCGCAGCAAAGATGAAGACTGCAGACTCTGGAGTCTACAGCAAAGACTAAGACAGCAGATCCAGCTGGAGGTTATAGCAAAGTAGTGAAGATGAAGATGGCAGACTCTGGCCAGAGTCTGCAGCAAAGGTAGCAGACTCCAGCAGGAGCGAAGGCCTGGTCCTGGGTGCCAGTAGAAAACTGGTGCTGAAAGCCAAGGGAAGGAAGCCTATTGCATGAATCTCTTTGTGTAACAGGCCTTTAGTTTTTATTATATGTATTAACAGTTCATTAGATTAGAACTTGTATTTAATACATTCCTCAGAGAACTAAATACAGGGTGGGACAAAAGTTGGTTTACAGTAGTTGATATAGAAAATAATACCATATTTAATAGGTAATAATACAAGAATAAACTCTATTAAGCCTACTTTTGGCCCAGCCTATAAAGTCATTCAAAGTATTGTTCTTTAAAATAATATTAATAAGATGGATTTTAAGTAAATAAGATCTCCAATGTTTCCATTGAGAATAAAATCACATACCTTGAAATTTTCTGTGATCAGAGTAAACAACTTAGTTGAATTCCCCACAACACAAGCAGTATTTGACATTATTATTTCCAAAGGTGATAAAATTTTGAGTTTAGTGATCACCTAAAATCATTTGAAAAAATCAGTTTCTTAAAATGTAAGCTTAGGATTCTCTTAAACAAAAATTTGTCGTATTGTTTTAGAGAAAAATACTTAAAATCATTTCATAGAGATATAAAAGTACAACTTTCCAAATTATATATTCAAATAAAATGTATTTCTAATGATTATATACTAAGCATATATCCTATAAAATTACAAATATAAAATATTAACATAAACATAGGGTATTTATTCACAATGGATTATAACAATTCGAAGCCCAAAAATTAATTTAAATTTATCAAATACATATTCTTAAAATAATATTTTTAAAAATAAGTTCTTCCAATCAGCATTTTATCTATCTCAATGAAAAACATTCAATAGTGTAACTATGGTGATACAATCAATATGACTTCACTAGTACATCTTAAAAGTTGAAAAATAAAAAAACCAAAGATGACAACATCTGCTTTGTAACTTATGCTTTTCCCAATATACTAGTAAAGGGCATTTTTTTAGAAATACTTTAGATATACCAAGTATTAGTTTTGATTAACATTCCTATTTTATAAAAACTTGTTTCCTATTCTTTTCAAATTGCATAAAAATGTGAAATACCACCCTAGACCATTTGGCTCTGTGGATAGAGCATCAGCCTGTGGACTGAAGGGTCCCAGGTTCGATTCCAGTCAAGGGTATGTACCTTGATTGCAGGCTCCTCCCCAGCTCAGGAGGCAACCAAACAATCTATTTTTCTCACATCAATATTTTTCTCTGTCTCTGCCTCTCTCTCTCACTCTCCCTAACAATCAATAGAAAATATCCTAGGATGAGAAAAAAAAAAAAAAAGATGAAGGTAGTAGGCAGTACTATTATTAGTTAAGTTGTTAGGTATATTTAAATTTTTATTATTAGATAAGAAAAGAAAGCCTATATCCTTGGGCATCATAAAGGAGAACTTAGAGTAGGAATGGACTACCTACTAAAAGTCACACAAATTCCCATAATAGGCCACTGGCCCAATAGACTACCTACCTAAAGTCACACAAATACCCATAATAGGCCACTGGCCCAAATTAATGAGTAATAGGAAGTAAATGCAAGAAGAGATTACATTATAATTGATCAAAGAGACCAATTTCCCTTAACTCTCAAAAATAAAATTCAAACACAGTTCAGTGGAAATAACACTTTAAAGACAGCATTATTACATATTAGAGGCCTGATGCATGAAATCATGCACAGATGGGGTCCCTTGGCCTGGCCAGTGATCAGGGCCCATAGGGGCCATCTCACCCAGTCCTGATCAGGACCGATCAGGGCCAGCCAGCTGGGAGGAGGGACCACAGAAGATTGGCTGATGGCAGGAGGTTGATCATGGGAGTGCACTGACTCCTGCATTGAGCATCTGCCCCCTGGTGGTCAGTGTGTGTCATAGTAACTGGATAACCAGTTGTAATGGTCACTTAGGCTTTTATATATATAGATATTATCTTTGGAACAAATCCAGGAATTATTAAAAGTATAATTTTAAAAACCAGTATTAATAATTTGAAATGTTTAAGTAACAGCAAAACACTATTTTTAGAACTATCCTATATAATAAAAGCCTAATAATGCTAAGTGTCCAGTTTCCAGTTGGCTATTCAACCAATCAGTGTAATATGCGAATGATCCAAGGCTGCTCAACTGTTCACTGTGACATGCACTGACCACCAGGGGGCAGACACTCTAACTGGTAGGTTAGCTTGCTTCTGAGCTCTGGCCAATCGGGACTGAGCAAGACAGGCCAGCCACACCCTAAAGCCCTCCTATGGTCCCTCCCTGGCTGGCCAACCTCCTGCATCCCTCCCTAGCCCCAATCATGCACCAGTGGGGTCACTCTGCCTGGCCTGCACCTTCTCGCAATCCAAGCTGAGGGACCCTACCCCCAAGTGTACGAATTTCATGCACTAGGCTTCTGGTATATACTAAAAATAAATCAGATGAAAAAAATTTTTATTTTAATTCAGACTACCAAACCTGCATGCTACCAAAAAGTAAACTAATTAGAAAAGTAATGACTTGAAAATCAGGCTAGTGCCCAATAGATCAATCATTTTCTAGGTTTATAAATACTTACCTTTGCATATGTTGTGTTGTCTGCAAACTGAGATAATATAATTTGTGGGCTTTTTAAGTCAATACTTGCCATTCCTATTTCACCTCTGGCAAGTCCTCTCCCTTCTACAACAGCTACAATAACTGATGGGGAGTGTACAGAAACTGCAGATGAAGATGTAGCTGCTAAAAAGAATTTTTTTAAATGTATAAATATTAATAAAAATGATTTCTAGGTTTTTCTCATACAATTTCAAGACATCAAACCTAGGACATGGTTTTTAATATCCAAATAAATAATCTTTTTTTTTACTCATCAAAAAATAACTTTTCATATTCACACCAAATAAAAATGTTAATTCTCAAAGTATTTTTCCAAAAATTAACTTCATTAACATTTAGAAATAATTTATACAGTCTTAGTTTTCATTTTATTGAAATGCAAAACTAGATTTTTTTTAATTTTACACTGTCATTTAAAAGCTATATAAATGTGAGCAAGTTATTTTATCTATAATAATAAAAGCATAATATGCTAATTCGATCAGATGTCCTTCTAGATGAAGCCACAGAAGTGGGGGCCTAAGCAGAGCCAGCCACTGCTGCGGTTGGGGCCAAGCCCCTTGCACGAATTTTTGCATTGGTCCTCTAGTAATAAATAATCATCAATCACAAAACATAACAAAACATAATGAAATGACTCTCTGCCTACCTCAAGCTGACTGAAACAATCAAATGGGATTGTATATATTATACAACTATAAACTTCAATTACTAGATATCTGTGTAATGGTGAATATTTTATTTCTTAATATGCAAAGAATGTTCTTTACTTGGAGTAACTAATTTAATTGTCACAAGTTCTATCAAATAGGCATAATTATTTTCTCTATTTACTTACAAGGACACTGACATATTGATGGAACGGATGGAGTCAAAATTTGTACCCAGGAAGTCTGGCTCCAGACCTGGTGTTCTTAATCACTACAGGTATGAGTGATTTTGACACCTGTGCCTTACAAACTATGAATATTCAGGTAAGTTGTTTAACCTTTCTAAAACTACCATTTCCTCATCCATAAACTGAAAATAAAAAAAGCTTTTACACAAAACCTTTTACATATAAAAGTGTTTGTAAAGTATATGATATTAAATGTAGAACATTATTCATGGACAAAAATATCTGGAATTTTTATTTTCAAATAAATAATATGATCTCTCATTTCTTTGTCAGCATTTCAATAAACCACTTTTTACCCCTCCTTTCATTCCCTGACTTACATTGCTTTTTTCTTTTTCTATTCTTCTTCTAATATGTATATAAAATTACTTACACATTTATTCTATCTTAGTGAGTAGTCAATTTAAGAGTTCATGTAAAAATCTATTATATCTAGATTTCACAATCTGTTTGGCCATGAAAACTATGTTATATGTGGTGACTGCGTTTACATTACATCTAGAGAAGTCAGTTTAAGTTCTGTAACTGAATATGACCTTCCTATTTTTAACTGTAACATAAATACCAAGTTCCTATGGGAATTCAGTACTTTCAGGAGACATTTTCTTTAAACTTCTAAAAGAATATTTATATGCTCTGGTTGATGTGGTTCAATTCTCTGGACACCACACAGTACACCAAAAGACTGCCAGTTCCATTCCCAGTCAGGGCACATGGGCTTGATCACAAGTAGGAGGCAAGCAGGAGGCAGCTGATCCATGTTTCACTCTCACATCAATGTTTCTCTCTGCCTCTCCCTTCCTCTCTCTCTCTAAAAAATCAATTAAAAATCTTTAAAGTAAAATAATAGAACATTTATAGTTATCTCTGTTATAAATACTACTAAAAAAGTAGATTTGCAGTTTTGAAAACACAGAACAGAGCTTATCTTGTATTATTATTTATTATTGTACCAGAGACCTGATGCGCAAAATTTGTGCAAGAGTAGGCCTTCCTAGCCAAAACCGGTTTGGCTCAGTGGATGGAGCATCAGCCTGCAAACTGAAAGGTCCCAGGTTCGATTCTGGTTAAGGGAAAGTACCTTGGTTGCGGGCACATCCCCAGTAGGGGGTGTGCAAGAGGCAGCTGATCAATGATTCTCTCTCATCGATGTTTCTAACTCTCTCTCTCTCTTCCTCTCTGAAGAAAATCAATAAAATATATTAAATTTTAAAAAAAGAGTAGGCCTTCCTTCCCCCAGCTGCCGGCCCCGGCTTCCCTCCGGCCACTGGCTGGCACCCGAGACGCGGGCTTCCCTCGCAGCCCCAGCTTCGTCCAGAGAGTTGTCTGGAAGGACATCGGTTCTAATTAGCATATTATACTTTATTATAAATTATTTTCAATACAAAACTATACAAGACAAATTCTTTTGTGTCTGCACAACTGTAAACCTACTTTTGCTCCACCCTGTATAAAGAGCATTCTTGTGCATAAAGCTTTTTTCTGGGTCTCTTATTATTTCCTTAAAATGGATCCTTGGAAGTCATATAATAAAAAACCCATCATTTTTTATTTTAATTATATTTAATGGAGTAACATTGGTTAATAAAATTAAATAGATTTCAAGAGTACAATCTTAAACATCATCTATACAATGCTTTGTATGCCCAGAAAACCGCTATTTTTTAAGGATCTCATATATTGCCAAATTTATTTTCAGAATTATACCAATTTTTAATTCCATCAGCAGTATGAAAAATAGATTTTGTAATATGACTTCCGAAATGCATTACTGTTACTCTTAGGTAATTTAATAGACTTGTGTTCAAATTTGTATTTTTTTAAATGACTACAAAATTTAAATATAATTTAAAATATCCATTTGTTTTTTAATTTTATTTTGAAATGTTAAACCCTTTTAATACAATTTTTATTAGGTCTTAATGTTTTCCATCTGTTTTTATGAGAATTTTGTAAACCAATGACAATAATTTATAGTTACTACTAATCTTGATTTTTTTTCTTTTTTTTCTTTAAATATATTTTATTGATTTTTTACAGAGAGGAAAGGAGAGAAATAGAGAGCTAGAAACGTCAATGAGAGAGAAACATCGACCAGCTGCCTCCTGCACACCCCCCACCAGGGATGTGCCCGCAACCAAAGTACATGCCCCTGACCAGAATCGAACCTGGGACCCCTCTACCACTGAGCCAAACTGGTTTCGGCTAATCTTAATTTTTTTCATATCTCAAAGATTCCTATTTTGTATAGACAAGATTTTCCTTTATAATTTCTTACGTTGCTTTTCTAAGAAATTCCTCCTTCATTAAAATATTTGATATGCATTACTATATTTTCTAACTTATTTTTACTTGTTTTATTCATTTTAACCTTTCATCTCGGCAGAACTTTGGCAGTAAATTTGTTTGTCCACATGCTTGGAATAAGAGATGACAGGAAGTACATATTTAGACTCATTCATAAGCAGTTTCTAATGTCTAGCTTGATGGTCAGGTACTTGGAAGGAACAGGATTGTTCTAGATACAATAGATTTTTACATGAACTTTATCTCACTTTCTTGTATGTGGATGAGTCTCTAAGAAAGGATATAAGCTGATGTGGCTCAATGGGTAGAGTGTCAGTCTGCAGACTGGAGGGTCCTGAGTTAAATTCTGGTTAAGGGCACATGCCCAGGTTCCAGGCTCAATCCCCAGGGCATGCAGGAGGCAGCCAATCAATGATTCTCTCTCATCATTGATGTTTCTCTCCCTCGCCCTTCCTCTCTGAAATAAAAATATATTTTTAAAAAAAAAGAAAATATGAAAGGGCATTCACTCTAGAGGAAACTCTTTTTAAAAATAAATATTTTATTGATTTTTACAGAGAGGAAGGGAGAGGGATAGAGAGCTAGAAACATCGACCAGCTGCCTCCAATGTACATGCCCTTGACCGGAATCGAACCTGGGATGCTTCAATCCACAGACCGATGCTCCATCCACTGAGCCAAACCAGTTTCTGCAAAAGAAGACTCTTAATAATCAGGTGGACAAAATGACAGCTCCATGGATGTCAAATAGCCTCTTTTCCCAGCCATTCCAGTACTTCCTCAACAGACCCATTAACAAAGTGGCCATGGTGGCAGGATCATGCCTATGCATGGGCTCAATAATAGGAACTTCCTCTTACCAAAATGACCTGGTTACTCACACTGTTGAGTGCCTAACCTGACAAAAGCAGAGATCAACATTAAATGTTCCCAAAAAACACCACTCCTCAGGGAAACAACTTTAGATTCATTACACTGGATTTCTTCCATCATGGAGAGGGAAGATATCTGTCTTCACTGGAACAAACACATATTCTAGATACAGATTTGCCTTCTTTGCACACAGTGCTTCCACCAGCATCACCATCTATGAATTCACAGAATGACTTACCCACCATTGTGGCATTCAGCACAGTAACACATCTGACCAAAATGGTCAGTGGAGGATAAGGATAGAAGGATTGCCCTTATAGATATCAAGATGTAATATAAAACTAAAGACAGTGTGATATGGGCAGAGATTGGAAATTAAGAGAGGTAGAAACAGAACCATATGGATCTATGATATATGACAAAAATTGAGGAAGGATATTCAAGAAAAAGGAGTAATCTCTGTGGGAAAATTAAATTGACTTCTTACTTCATATTATAAACAAAAATCAATTCTAGGTATATTAAAAACTTAAATGTGCCCTAGCTGGTTTGGCTCAGGGTCAGCCTGGGACTGAAGGATCTTGGGTTCGATTCCAGTCAAGGGCACATGCCCAGGTTGTGGGTTCGATCCCCAGTAGAGGGGCATGCAGGAGGCAGCCAATCAACGATTCTCTCTCTCATCATTGATGTTTCTATCTCTCTCTCTTTCTCCTTTCCTCTCTGAAATCAATAAAAAAAATATTTTTTTTAATTATTTAAAGGTAAAATGCGAAACTTCAGAACTCTTAGAAGAAAATATAGGAGAATATTTTTCTGACCTGGGACTTTGATAAAGTTTCTAATCAAATATGCACAATGCAGCAATCATAAAAGAAAATATGGATGAATTTGACCCTACTAAAATGAGAATTCTGATTTCTGCTTCTGGTAATGGTAAGCAAAGTTATTTTAAATCAATTGTCTTGGTGAAAGCAACAAAATCCTAGACAAAATATAAATATACAAATATATATGTAAAAATCATACAAAACACAAACATAACCAAAATACATAAATATACAATAAAAACTTAAAAATATTAAAGAGCTTCAGGAATACCTGTGTTTGAATGTCAAGACATATCAAATTACACACATTAAATGTGCAATTTATTGCATGCTAATTATATCTTAATAAAGCTGTTAAAAAATATACTATAAGGTCATACTAATACTTTCAATTTACCTTAAAAAAAAATGAAGTATTAAAGAGCAGAAAGATACTGAGGATTTTAGGGGTCTAGATCCAAAAAATATAACAATCCAGAAAAGCAAGCCCAGCAAAAATAGACAATTTTTTTTTTTTGAGGCCAGCATGGTTAAAATAATGTGGACCTGCATTAACTGTCAGAAACTAACCTAATCTCAAATTATGAATATGGATAAATTGGTACATTTATCTTTCAATCAGTCATATCAGGTACAAAACACTTCAAATGATTGTAACTACCCTAATTTATATTTTATAAAAACTTTAAAATTTCGCCAAAACCGGTTTGGCTCAGTGGTAGAGCGTCGGTCTGCGGACTGAAAGGTCCCGGGTTCTATTCCGGTCAAGGGCATGTATTATACCTTGGTTGCGGGCACATCCCCAGTGGGGGGTGTGCAAGAAGCAGCTGGTCGATGTTTCTCTCTAATTGACGTTTCTGGCTCTCTGTCTCTCTCCCTTCCTCTCTGTAAAAATCAATAAAATATATTAAAAAAAAAAAACTTTAAAATTTCAAAAAGTCATCTAGCTCAATATTCTACTCACTTTACCTGAGTATCCTATTTGCGGTGTCCAACTTTTATATCCTGATCTCTGTGGATTTCCAGCAGACAATGGAGTTTTTAGTGTTTGAGGATAATTATTGTCTCGTGCAGAAGATGAGCTTGTCCCAAAATTAAAATTTGATGCAAATGGATTTTCTGCATAGGACCTTTTGTTTTCAAAGTATGAACCTAAATTTTAAAAGTTAAAAATCAGTTTTTAAAGATTCAGAATTATGCAATGATGCCTACAATCCCTACAATATTTACCATGTTCACCTTCTATAAAATTTCATGTTAATGATTTTTTAAAATATAACAAATTATGACAAATGACATTATTGATAAGTAATCTCATACTAAAACATAAGGAAAAGTTCTTAGTAATAAGGCTTTTGCTTCTACAAGTTCACTAAGATTACTCTTGCTGAAATTTTAAGTTAACTCCTAATTTTCAAATACACCAGATATATTTACTTTATAATTATGAGACCACTTTTTCTCTGTGGACTTCTTTGAAATTCTCTCCTCCTATGTAAATGTATAAAGAAAGCTCTGGATTCACTTAAATTCACTTCCTTATTTAGGTCCTTAGCCTGATTTATTACCTATTTTACAGGATTGTCATAAAACTTAAAAAATGTACACAAACAGCCTAGTATAGTGTTTTGTTCTGTTTTATTTTAAATAACTAGAGGCCTGGTGCATGAAATTCTGCACGGGGGGGAGGGGAAAGGAGGGCGGGAGGGTGTCCCTCAGCCCAATCTGCATCCCTCTCACAATCCAAGACTGCTGGCTCCCAACTGCTTCTTCCTGCCAGCCTAATTGATGCTTAACTGCTCCACTTCCAGCCTGATTGTCCCTAACTGCCCTCCCCTGACAACCTGATCACCCCTAACTACCCACCTCTGCCGACCTGATCACCCCACAACTGCCCTCCCCTGCAGGCCTGGTGCCCCCCAACTGCCCTCCCCTACTGGTCTGATTTCCCCTAACTGCCCTCCCCTGCAGGCCATCTTGTGGTGGCCATCTTGTGTCCACATGGGGGCAGCCATCTTTGACCACATGAGAACAGCCATCTTGTGTGTTGTAGTGATGGTCAATTTGCATGTTACTCTTTTATTAGATAGGATGGGGCTTGGCTCTGGCTGGTGTTGTAAGTTGGTTGGAGCATGGGGCTTGGTTCTAAGTCAGGACATGTATCTAGGTTGTGGCTATATCATGTATGGAAGGCAACCAATCAATGTTCTCTGTCACATGGATCTTTTTCTTTCTCTCTCTCCCTTCCCCTCTCTCTAAAATCAATGAGCATATTTTCAAGCGAGGCTTAAATATATATTTTTTTTCTGCTATTTCCCTGGATTTCCATGACAACTATCTTGATTCTCCTTAAACCACCTGCTTTTAGTTTCCTTTGACAGATCTTTCTTTTCTGCTCTTTAACTGTTGGCTTCTAAGAGTACTATACATTTTCACCACTTCTCACAATTAACATTATACATTTTCTCTGGGCCTCTCATCTATTATCTTAGTTTCTATTAATATCTATTTCCTGACAAGTCTCAAGTCTTCATATACAGCCCTAACTCCTCTCTTATACTGTAAACCACAGGTTGTCAAACTTTTTAATAAAGGATCAGATGGTACAGGCTTTGTGGGCCATAGGATCTGTCAGAATTACTCAACTCTGACTTTATAGAAGGAGAGCAGCCATTGACAATATGTAATTGAATGACCATGGCTGTATTTCAATAAATTTTTATTTGTGCATAGTGAAGTCTGAATTTCATGTAATTTTCACATCACAAAATATTATTTTTACTTTTTCAGTCCTTTAAAATCCAAAAAAAAAAAATTTTTTAAATTCTTAGGTCTATAGCTGCATTATTCAATATAGTAGTCATTTACTACATGTGGTTATTTACATTAAATCAGAAATAAATAAAAGTAAAAATTCAATTCCATAGCCACATTTCAAATGATCTCAAGTCATATTTGACTAGTATAGAGGTGGAATAGTTCTGTCATCACAGAAATTTCTATCAGATAGGTGGCTTTAGGTCCTTCTGTCTAACTACCTCTTAGATATATTTACATATCTTCCTCAAAATTTTAAATGTCCATAAGTTAACTCAGTATCTTTCCCTCAAAATTATTCTTTATTACCAGTTGTGGTCAATTGTACCACCTTGTACTCTGTCGCCTAAATCATAAACTTAGAGAACAGAACTGGGAAATACAGAGAAGCATTGATGTGAGATAGACTAATTGCCTCCTGCATGTGCCCTGACTAGGACCTGTAATGGCACAGAAGCAGAAAGAGACAGAATTATTTGGAAGATAAACAGGACTATCTTTGGATGTTGTGAGGGAATACTTGAATTGTTGAAGTCTTCTAAGTTTAAAAGATTTAGACAACCCAATGATTGAGATAAGGAGATGATTTCACTTATTCATATAGTGAGTCTGAGGTGTCCACCGGTCCCTCACTAGAAACTCCAGAGGACAGTCTGAAAGGAATTTGGAACAGAGATGAAATCTGAGTTGTGGTAATCATATCTAGGTTGAAGTGGTCTAGGGAAAAAAAATAAATAAATAAGGACAAACCAACAATTGGAAAACTCACAGAGGTGAGCACAGTTCTCTAGAAGACAAAAGAAAACTGGGAGTAGAGTCAAGAAAGTCAAAAAAGAAAGTGATGGTTTCGCATGGAGTGACCAAATATAAAACAAATGAGTTGAACTCACCTTGAAGGACATACATCTTGAAGGACATACATTTTGTAATATTAAACATACCATTAACCTCGCCGAGACCGGTTTGGCTCAATGGATAGAGCGTCTGCTTGGGGACTGAAAGGCCCCGGGTTTGATTCCGGTCAAGGGCATGTACCTTGGTTGCGGGCACATCCCCAGTAGGGGGTGTGCAAGAGGCGGCTGATCGATGACTCTCATCGATGTTTCTATAATAGCTCTCCATCTCTCTCCCTTCCTCTCTGTACAAAATCAATAAAATATATTTTTAAAAAAATAAAAAATAAAAAAATAAACATATCATTAACCTGAATTAGACAAAATGTTAAGTTTAATGTATTTCCATCACTTCCTTGAAGGCTTGGAGACAAGTTCAGGAGCCAAGAGGTTCACCAGTCCTATCACCAAACTCTTCAGAAATTCTGTCATTCTGTCATACATAGTTGACCCTTGAACAAGGGTTTGAAATATGCAGGTCCTTATATATGGTTTGTGTTGGATGTTTTTAAATAAACACTAGCGATGTTTTCTCTTCCTTGTGATTTTTGGTTTGTTTTTATCCTTCTTGAGGATATTTTTCCATTGATATTTTTTTTTTATCTTTTTTAAATATATTTTATTGATTTTGTACAGAGAGGAAGGGAGAGAGATAGAAAGTCAGAAACATCGATGAGAGAGAGTCATCGATCAGCTGCCTCTTGCACACCCGCTACTGGGGATGTGCCCGCAACCAAGGTACATGCCCTTGACCGGAATCGAACCCGGGTCCCTTCAGTCCCCAAGCAGACGCTCTATCCATTGAGCCAAACCGGTCTCGGCTCCATTGATATTTTAGAGTGTGGAAGAGAAAGGGAAAGGCAGAGAGAAATATCAGTGTGAGAGAAACACATCCATTGGTTGCCTCCTACATGCTCCCTATGACCAGGGCCCCAGCGGGGAGGAGCCCGCAACTGAGGTGCATGTTCTTGACAGGAATTGAACCCAGGACTCTACAGTCCACAGGCCAATGCTCTACCCACTGAGCCAAACCGGCTAGGGCTGATTTTCTTAATATTTTTTCCCCCCTCTAGCTTACTTTATTGTAAGAATACAGTATTCATACAGATAAGCAAACAAAATACGTGTTAAATTACTGCTTGTATTATTAGCGGTAAGGCTTTCTGGTCCACTGAAGGTTATATAAGTTTTGGAGCAGTCAGAAGTTACACGGGGATTTTCTCGATTGGGCGAGGAAGGTGACCCTGACACCCCAACACACACTTACACTGTTGGTTCAAGGGTCAACTGTACTTCAGTGGGGGTGCGGGGGTTCAGGGGGAGGCGGGTCGTTATACCAGACATTTCAGTCTTCTGGGAACTCAGCCATCCTCCATCACAGCCTTTGTAATAAACCAGTTTGGACTGTCAGCCTGTTCATCACTCTGACCATCACATGTCCAGAGCAGCCCGTTCTCTTCATCCAACCAAACCCCCACAGAAATTCCTGTGCTGACCGCCAGCCTCCGCGCCCGGAGCCGCCCGGGCTGCAGCCGCCGCCCACGGGAGCCCCCCACCTCTGCTTGCCTGGAGCGCGGGGAGCCGGCAGGGCCGTGGGCACGGGGCCCAGGAGGCTGCTGCTGCTGCTGCTCCGGTCGCCCGCGGCGCCGGACGTGCCCCACGGGGTGGAGGCGGAGGCCTTGGCCGAAGGGAGGCTCTGAGGCGTGTCCTGGAGTCCGAAGCTGTAGCGGGGCTCTTGTGACCAGGGCTCCGTGGACGACTGGGAAGCCGCAGGGGCTGAGGGCGAGGTGGATGAGATCTCCGGCCTCGGCATCCTCACACTCCGCAGGCACCGGAGGCTCTGGAAAGGCCCCTCGCCCACCGGCAGAAGCACCGGGACCCGGACAGAAAAGGACGCGGGAAAAGGCGGGAGGGCAGCGCGCAGGCGCAGAGGCGCAGCGCGCAGGCGCAGAGAAGCAGGGAGCAGCCGCACACGACTCCAGCTTTTTACATCTTTCCCGCATCAGCTCCTAAGAAAGTATTCACAGTGGTTTCCAATCCTATCACCTCCCACAGGATTTGGTTATGAGCTTAATTTGAAGTACAGCCCTCCTCAACCTGCAGGTTATCACGTGAACAGAATTTATGGCTCACTAATGACCACTAATCTCCTTCTTCACATACTCCCAAACATACTAGCTTCTTAAAAATATGGTTTTAGTTTTAGAGAGGAAGATAAGGTAAAGGTTAACATTGATGAGAGAACTATCAATTGGCTGTCTCCTGGCACGCCCCCTACTGGGCATGGAGTCCCAAAGCCAGGCATATGTGCTGACCAGGAATCAAACCTGTGACCTGTTGGTGCATGGGTCAATGCCCAACTGAGGCACACCAGCCAGGGCCACACTAGCTTCCCTTTGATGCTCGCATTTTATAGTATACCTCTAACACTGGTCTTGTGGCTAAATACAGGAAAAAGCCACAAGACTGTTATCCTTCAACTATTAAGGGATAGGATAGGAACCAGGCAAACAATGGAGCACTCTTGGGAGAGATTTAAAAACAATCTCAATTTCTACTACTGTATTTTCACGCAGGTAATTTAGGAGCAAATTACAAAACTTCAAACTATGGTTTATCAACCAACAACCATTTGGGAAATTAAGTTCTGCATTTGTTCAGTTTTCATGAATTTAAAGCCTTTCCAAAGTTTCACAAAAATTATAAGGTTGAAAAAAAAAGTATTTTGGATACCATTAGACATTCATTTAAAATATTGAATTCATGCTATCGATATTAGCTAATAAATCAGATATTCACAGTTTACCCATATGCAGTGACCCTAGACATAGAAAAATACCATTTAAATAAGATGTTCCATCCAGTGACCTCCAAGCTTTCAGAAAGTCTAGAGACTATCAAAATGCTATTTGACACTCAATAGAACCTAACATAAGCACCTGTATGCAAGATGTTAAAATTGACAGATCAATGTGTTAAGTGAACTACTCATGGAAAACTCCTAAAATGACTAGTACATAAGATATTGCAACATTTTAGGACAAATTTCAACTTCCACCCAAAGAAAAAAGTTCATAGCACTCTCCTGGGAGCAGGCTTGCCTTTCACCTACACCTGGCACACCGTTTTTTTTTTTTTTTTTTTTTTTAATATATTTTGATTATTTAGAGGAAACGTCGGTGAGAAACATCGACCATCTGCCTTTTCCTCTTGCACACTCCCTACAGGGGATGTGCCCACAACCAATGTACATGCCCTTGACCGGAATCAAACCTGGGACCTCAGTCCACAGACCAACGCTCTACCACTGAGCCAAACCGGCTTTGGCCCTGGCACATCACTTTTAAGTGCTAGGGGCTCTTTCTATCGATAACTTGTCTCTCTGAAGTCCTTTTCTTTTATAAACTTACTTCTTTTATAATCTTATAAATGTTCTTTAGAAAAGAATGATTATAGAAATACTTTATTTTCACAAAGAACACATACACAAAAATATTGTGTTAATCATCTTTCTCCTTGGGGGGGGGGGGGCGGGGAGAAGGGAAGCCAACAACCCTTTGGTAGTCAATAGCTGGCATTCTGACATAAAATTATTAAGAATTAGCATAAAATGTAGTCCTGATTTCAATCATATTCTAAGATGAACTCTCATTTACCGAAATTACTCTGTGACCATTTCAGAATAACCATAAGCCTATGAAATAACTCCCAAATTTTAAGTTTATTTCACTTTGTACATCTGTTAATTCGTGTGGAGTATATCAATTTTTATCAGTAACAATTTCATTGACATAGACCAATTTACATATCATATAACATGGAGGAAGCACATGGGAAAATCAAGTCAAATACAAGACTTCATTAACTAGAGTTCTTAAACTGAAGATTACTATTAGGGAAATTTAAATACATTGAAGTATAAACAAAATATATTCAGAACGACAGCATTCTATAAGAAATGAAAAGCTGAAATTAGGCCTTTATTTTACAGCATGTATACTTACATAATTTATTAAAATTATCACAACACATATACAAAATATTAAGTAATTTTTAAGTATGACAAGCACTTCAAATTCAGAAATTTTAGGATGACTAAACTATACTAAGCAGCTTTGCATCAGTGAATCTAGCTCACTAATTCGGGCTGAACATTCATTCTCCGAAGTACTTCTTCAGGCATGCAAAAAACAGGATTAACAGGTTTAATTTGTTCTTCTCCCAAAAGTGACAATCCAGCAATTCCAAATAAAGTATGAAAAGGATCTACCTATTAAAAAAATGAGAATTCAGATTATTACAAAAATGAAAACTTCTAAAAACCTGCTTCTGAATGATGGTTATATTAAAGCCCATATTCAAATATTCTCTTATCTGAATATATGCTTCAAGTTCTTTTAATAAAAATGGCTTTAAATTGTGATGTTAACCATACACTACTTGGAAATGTCATTAAGAAATTGCTGCAACCTTGTTTTACTATTCTTTATATCTCAAAAATTACAAAAAAAAAAAAAAAAAAAAAAACACCCAAAAACAACACACCGCTTTGAAAGCAACACTAGGAAATACCATCCATTTCTAAGTCTGGAATAGCTTAGAATCATACAAGTAATGGAAAACACTGAAATGTAATTTTAACATGAGTATGTCAGAAATATACTTGCCATATCTCCTGGTCTGTCTGCAAATCCTCCAGTTTCTTCATCTTGACATGCTAAGATGAAACTGCGCAGTTTCTCTCGATCAATCCAATGAAGCCTTCCTATTATCTTTAGGGAAGCCAACACCCACCATGAATAGCATACATCTGGTAACTAGGGAGGAAAAGCCAAAAGTTACCACAATTTTATTCTCTAGTCCACTTAGGTCGGGACGGGAGGAATCAAGGCTATACTGACATGCAGTATTTGAAATGCTGAAATTCATAAACACAACTGCTTAGAATTAAAAATAATCACAGGAAAAGACCAAACACTCCAGTTCATAGAAAGGCAGCCATGTGTTTCAGTACTTTGTGGAAAAAAAAAAAAAAAAAATCCCATCTACTTTCATTTCTTCTGCTATGAATGCTAACTCAGTCCCCCTTCCCAAATATAGTAAGGCTCATGAAGTCTATGATGATGGATATTGCATATTCCCAAGTAGAGCATTTTTCAACAAGTACTCCCCAGGTAACTATAGATCTGCTAAAGTCACCTAAAGCCTGGCCCCTCAAAATACCAGCCAGCATGGTTCAGTGGTTGAGCCTAGGAACCGGGTCATGGTTTGATTCCAGGACAGGACACATGGGCTCAATACCCAATGGGTCACATGCAGGACCTATGGGGTCACATGCAAGAGATGGCCAGTGAATGATTCTCATCACTGATGTTTCTATCTCCCTTTCTCTTCCTCACTGAAATCTATAAAAATATGTAATAAAATGTAAAAAAGATGCAGAAGACACCACCTGAGGCTGAATATAATCTTCAATAACAGCCTTTGGTAATTCAGTCACATTATAACCAGAGGGGAAGGGAAGCAAAAGAAGGAAAAAATGGGGGCACATTAACATCTAACAATAAAGAAAAACATTGTCCTACAATGTTAAAATGCTGGTTCCTATCAATTGCCACCCCTAATTGTTGAAAGTTGCACAGGTTTCCCATAGGACCTTAACTAGAAACCACCTGTGGTTATTTCCCTACCCCACTTAACTTATTAGAAATACCAAGCAAACAGTGATAAAAGGAGTATAATACATTTTTAGCGTTAGGACCTAGCAAATTATAGCTCAAGTCAAATTTAGACACCACGGCCAAAACCGGTTTGGCTCAATGGATAGATTGTTGGCTTGGGGACTGAAGAGTCCCGGGTTCGATTCCGGTCAAGGGCAAGTACCTTGGTTGAGGGCATATCCCCAGTAGGGGGTGTGCAAGAGGCAGCTGATTGATGACTCTCATCGATATTTCTAACTATCTCTCTCCCTTCCTCTCTATACAAAAATCAATAAAATATATATTTTTTAAAAATCTATAGACTACCACACCAAAAAATAGTTCTTTACATGTGTAGTTTTAAAAATGTTTAACAAAAAATCATATGAAGCACAAATGTACCCATAATTTTACTGCAACAAAGCCATGTCCGTAATCTAAAGAATCTATGGAAGCATTTGCTCTTCAGGGCAGCAACAAGACAATAAAGTACAAAGTTGGAAATATTTACTATCTGACACAATTTAGAGCTTAATGTGTGTGACCTAAACAAAACTGGACTTAAGAAAAATTAATTTCCTTCCAAATCCGTGTCAAAAAGGTTTGAAGAAGTACATCAGAAGGCACCATGCACATCTTTTTTTCAAGTGTATTTTAGATACAGAGGAACCTATGCATATTACTAAGCGAAAGAAGCAATTCTAAAAATGCCACATCTATATAATGCCAACTATTTGCATTTTGGAAAAAGCAAAACTAAAGATAGTAAAAAAAAATCAGTGTTTTCCAAGGATTTGGGGGAGGCCAGGAGTCAATAGGTAAAACATAGGGAATTTTAGGATGGTGACACTATTCTGTATCATACCATAAAGGTGGGTAAAGGGTACTATGTATTTTTCAAAAGCTTTAGAACTGTACAATACAAATAAGTATTATTTTTTTCAAGGCTTATCTCTCCACCTGTATTTTTTTTCTTAAATAAAATTTATTGGGAAGACATTGGTTAATAAAATTATATAGGTTTCAAACATGCATTTCTATGATATGCATATTTCAATGCCCATCACCTGCCACTATATATTTAACCCCCTTTACTTGAACTATCATTTGAACTCCCTTCCATCTGGGTAACCACCAGTGTATCATTTAAATGGACGCTAGGTTTAATAAGCATTTCAACCCTTCCTAGCTTACTTTTGCCAGGGCCTCTTTGTTTTTTTTCACGGTACAACAGAAGAATTATAATGGAAGGAAGATAGAAAGTTAACTATCAATTTACAAGAGCAATATTTAAAAAGTTAAGATAAAACAGCACTAAAATTATAAAACTATTAGAACACAATGTATTTTATGAAACAATACCTTCTCTGGTCTTCCATTCAGTCCCCCTGAAGGTAACTGTCGTTCACAAAGCCACCAGCCAAGTAAATCAGAATTTACTTGGTGCAACTGATTAGTAATAGCCAGGAATCCTGTGCAACAATAGATCTAAAATTACAGACATAAAGTACAGGTGTATAATAATCTGCAATAAGTGATAAAAACTATTCATTTTTATGTCTATAAATTTATTGACAATTGAACAGTTAGAATGGTAAACATGGAAATATCACATAATTATTTGGGGGAAAAAACTAAACATACTATCACTAGAATTCAGTTTTGCAAAGAAATACTATTGTCAAAATTCTCTATGAGTAAGATACTATTTTATTCCACAACTATTTTTATGTAGTATACAATGTTCTCTGGCACAAGCAGCAAATATAGAAACGAAATGCTTTCATTTAGTTAAAAAATGATGGAGCCCAGGTAGGTAGTTCAGTTGGTTGGAGCATCGGAATATGGATATGCCCAGATTTGAATTTCAACCAATCCCTGGACATTGTACATAAAAGAATCAACCAATGAATGCAAATCGGTTTCTCTCTCTCCCTTCCTCTTTCTCAATATAGATATATATAAATACTAATGGAAAATCAAAATGTATTTTTGGTGATTACAAGCATACTTATGTTTGACTGGGTCAGAGTGTTTCACCAACAGGTGAATGTATATAAAGCAAACAATTGTTAAAAAAAAAAAAAAAAAAAAAAGGGCCTTCCTTAATAAGCAATTAATCAACTATAATGCAACATCCCACATTATATTACCTTTGGTCAAATTAACTTCATATGTAACAAATACTAAAATTGCTATTAATATATTTTAATCTGAATTAGTGAATTACCTGCCCAGCATGGGACTCAGAACCTGGCCTACAACCAAATCCACCATCAAAGTTCATACATGATAAAACAAATTCAATTGCCTTTTCCACATTAATAGCATCCAGCTTCCCCTATAAACAAACAAAAAACAATGCCTATTAAATTGCAGAGTAAATATGGACACTAAGTAATTCCAACACAAGTATTCCATAACTTACCAACAGAGCCAAAGTTGCCACAGCACAAAAAGAGAATCTTGTATCAATTTCTCCTAAAAAATAAAGTAATCAAACCAACTTAAGTGTTACTAAAGGCTTCTGGATCATAACATACACAAGTTATTCTGTATAATTACTATGGTTAAAACGTAAAATTTACTTGTAGGTCTCCAGAAGGAAAGATAAATCTAAAGTGAAATCATTTGACTTCTAGGAAAACTAAGATCTAGAAAAATGCTTTGACAAATTATAGCAAATTATCTTGAGTTGTTTACACAGTACCCAGAGAGGGAAGGTAACTAACTAACTGAGCCAAAGGCTAGTCATTTTCTAATAATGAACTTACCCTATTACATTAAAGTAGATTTTCACATCCCATGAAGCAGCTGGTCTCTCCGGCCTGCACTGTATTCAGCCCTGAAGTAGAGATTATCTAATTTATCAAGTAAAATATTATTCCCTTCCTCCACTCAAATACACTGTAAAATTGTAGTTTTGATTATCTTTTCGTTGCCAGTTATTTTTTAAAGAACTTTACAAACCCACCAAATATTGGGGGGTGGGGGAAATTTCACCTACCTTATCTTTTAGACTGACCCCCTCTGTTCCACTTCTCTTGTAGGCTGATATAACTAGCACAGTGCATGTATTAACTCCAGTTAGACCAGCTGCTTAGTGGGACCTGAAAAGATGAAAAACTTTTTAAAAAAAAATCTCTTATAAAAATATGCAGCAAAGCTATTACAATAAACGCAAAACATTTTGATTGTTATTTTTTGATAGCATGAATTAAAATGACATTACCCCAAATATCTCCAGCAAAAGAACCATCTTCTTTCTGTAGACTCTGAACATATTCCACAACTTTATTTACATCAATAACATTAACACTATCATATAGAGTAAGAATCTGTAACAACAAAAAAAAAGTTTAACAAATACATCTTCAACTCTAGTTTCTTCAACTACCTTTTAAGTCCTTTTGTCTGGGTATATTTTAAACTTTTCTCAAACATGCAAACTATCTATGCAATAAAATTATAGGTATTAACAAATCCAAACTTCTAAATGCATTTTTCTACATATAAATTGTAACTTAAAAATTTTAACTCTTAAATAGTCTAACTTACGTAGACTTTAAACCTATACTTATTTGTGGGAACTTCAGTATCAAAATTGAAACATTTAACTCCACCTTGTGATTTTCAAATATTTACATACACTAAACATTTTACCATCCAAGGTCTCAGTGTAATTTCAGAATTTACATCAACTTTGAATTCAGCTAATACATGCCATCACATCATTGACCTTGTTAAAAATACTTCATTTGCAAAACTTAAGGTTATTTCTGACATACTCATTTTATCACTACTTTCGTGGTTTCTAATTTCCCCACTCAGGTAAGAGCATACACTACCAAGATTGCCAAATTTTAATCATATTTACCTGGACAGCACTCAGTGTGTACAAAAGATGAGGATCATGTCCAATACTAGCACTTATTCCACCACACTCGTGTTGACATGACTTAATAAACGCCAGAATTTCTTCTCTATTCATGCGATTTAGTTGTCCCATAAGATCCATTACAGTCAGACCCCAATAGACGCCACTCATTCTCAAGTACTCCGACATACAGTACTCCTAAAATACACAATTACTTTAATGTGTCAGTTTGAATTCATGCTGGGTCAGAAACAAAAGATTTAATCCTACCAATGAGGAGTTTAAATGTGTGGCTCTCAAATTTGGGGGACAGAAGTTCCACTAGCTGGGAAGCATAATAATCTCACTGTGACTGACCATTCAAATAGTTTTAACTCTTCCAGGAGTCAACCGGAAGTATAAATTAGAAAACCTGCTTTTTTAAAAAGTTTGGATAGAACATTTCTTTCAGCCGAAACTGGTTAGGCTCAGTGGATAGAGCATCGGCCTGTGGACTGAAGGGTCCCGGGTTCAATTCTGGTCAAGGGCACGTACCCAGATTGCAGGCACATCCCTAGTGGGGGGTGTGCAAGAGGCAGCTGATGATTCTCTCATTGATGTTTCTATCCCTCTCCCTTCCTCTCTGTAAAAAATCAATAAAATATATTTTAAAAAAAACAAAACATTTCTTTTAGAGTACCTACGACGACTCTATAATTACATGGTAATGGAAACATATTAAAAGAAAAAGTCAAGAACTTATCAATACTTGATGTTTTCCATGATAATTCAGCTGTTGAGACTCTAATGTGAAAAATATTTACTTTCAGGTGAGTTGCTTACTACCCAGAGAATTACTCTACATTGCTTGAAACTCAAAGTAAAAATTTTCCAAGGTCTCAGCGTAATTCTAGAGCTAGTGTTATTACACATCAGCTGTAAATTCAGATAATACATGCCAAAACATCATTGACCTTGAAAGTATTACCTCAACTACAAAAGTAGAAATTTTCTCTGTACCTCAAACATCTTATAATGGGCCATAAATACTGATCCACTGACTGTTCATAGAGAATAGTATTCTTTGAAACTGTCAACATAAAATCATACATACATAATCATCTTTCTTTGAGCCATAGGATGCGATATAATCTGCATGTTTCTCCAATAAGAGGGTGTCAGGTGCATCTGACTTGATGGTAACATCCTTCTGTGGTGTGCCCTTTCAAAATAAAAGTAGTGATTTCATAAACGTTTATCTTTTCATGTCTGACCCCACAGCACATTCATTTCCCCCCAAAACACATCTGAAGTTCAAGCCCTTGTAATGACTCAGGTATTTTTCAGGTCTCAGAGTAATTCTAGAGCTAAAGTAGTCGTAATCAACTTTAGATTCAGAATACATGCCAGCTCATCATAGACCCAAAAAAAATTGCCTGTATTTATTGCTTTATCTTTCCCTTAAAGAGAAAAATAAACACCACGGAGTACCAAAGCTCACAAATTCAGGGCAAGTTATGGTTTACATGTGGCAATAAGCCAAGCGGATGCATTAACACACCTACCTCGACAATAACATGCAATTAACCTAGAAACTCGGTTTCAAAGCACATTCTACACACCCAAATTACCCCGCTGCTTACGCAAGCAGTCTCTTTAGCCCCAGGCTCTCCAGCTTTCCCTGGCTTCTGAATTTGTAACAGGCCCCCAGGTGACGAGGACGGTCTCATTCTCCCCATTATCTAGAGCTTCGTGACAGACACTGAATTGTATTCATTTTTAAGTAGGTCATGATGATTACTAAATATAGTAAATTTCCTTTTAAATCCCATTTATAATTTACTACCATACCTGTCACGATTCTAAAAAGACTGAGCCACTAAAATACATCTAAATAGAGAAGGATAAAAAAGCAGCGCCTATTTGGTCTGGTTCTGTGGGGTTAAAAGTCGGGCCTCTGAATCCCGAGGCCCGCCGGACAGGAGGAGGCCTGGATAAAATCAGGGGCTGCAACTGCACCCGCGAGGCCTGCAGGACACGCCGAGCAATAGTTTGGCCTTTCTGGGCTCGCAGGAAACCTCTCGAGGCCCGTAGCTTAACCCAAACATTCTCCAACGCTTGCTAACCCACACTACAATCACGGAGCAGCTAAATATCACGCTGTGCGGCCTCCTCCCCGACCCGGCCGGATAGCAGCGCAAAGCACAACCACACTCACCATGTCCGTGAGCGGAAAGAGAACTCAGCCAGCGCGAGGGCGTATATAGTGGGCACGCGCATGCGCAGAAGCAGCCCTCAGGTCCCCTCCACCGCCCCACATAGTTGACTAAGCTCCCGCCTGTTCCATTGGCTACCCTAGGACCCCACCCGCTGCTTATAGCTGTCTTCGCTGCCTGTGCTCAAAGGCTTTGCCCCCCTCCCTCCTGTTTACTAATCTCATGATCCCACCTTTGGTCTAAAATAGTTTTAAATAATACTATTTCAATTACTTTAAAAAACAAAACAAAACTTTTCCCCCCAATTGACCTCTCTCTGCCTCCTTCCCTCTCCCCCCACCCCCCACCCCCAAACTACCTCTTTGAACACTGAGGATCTGAGCTAAAACCGGTTTTGACCAGTGGATAGAGCGTTGGCCTGTGGACTGAAAGGTCCCAGGTTTGATTCCGGTCAAGGGCATATACTTTGGTTGTGGGCATATACCTTGGTTGCAGGCATATCCCTGGTAGGGGGTGTGCAAGAGGCAGCTGATGGATGTTTCTAGCTCTCTATCCCTCTCCCTTCCTACTCTGTAAAAAAAAAAAAAAAAAAAAAAAAAAAAAAAAAAATATATATATATATATATATATATATATATATATATATATATATATATATATTTTTTTTTTTTTTTTTTTTTTTTTTTTTTTAATGAACCTGAAGATCTGAAATGACTAGTGGTTAGAGTTCTTGCACATTTTAAGTGTTCATTGTTTGCAGTGACTATTAATGAGATGTTCCAGTCCCCCCTCCAATTTGCCTTGTCTGTTCTGGGTCCAGCTCTCCACTTCTTCAGGAGAGGGAGAATAGCAGAAGTATTTGGAAATTACTTTAGAAAAAGGAAACATCCCTGTGCCTTTTAAGAGCTTTCCACTGAATTCATATTTGTTGTGCTTTCTTAGGTCTACTATTTAAGCCTTTTTGAGCACGCATTCAAAAAAAAAAATTGGCACTCCCATTAAAATGAATTGCATTTGTTAGGGGCAGAAATATAATATTGGGGACTGGCTATTAGTTATAAGAAATAAAATAAGAACTATTAATCACACTCTGTTAACCATGATTGTCTTGTTCTGATTAAAGAAAGCACATTTCAACCTGGCTGGGAGTTGTATGCCCTGGGACATGGGAGCCAACATTGCCATACAGGCCGTCCTCCTGTCCTGAGAACTGCTATCATCACGGGAAGATTTACAACCTCGTGGCTGAAACAATCTAGTCCTGGAGGCACCTGTTCTTTGCAACCCCCAGCATCTATTACCTGTAATCTAGTTCCACAGCATCCAGAGATACCTGCCTTCTATGACCACCTACCTCCCCCTACCCCAGTCCACATGACTTATAACCTGTAATGATTATCCTGTGCCTACTTTCCGATACCTGTAATTTCTACTTGCCCACATAATCTTTGTACTTCTACTCAATATAAGCAGCTGGCTTATGGTGAGATCCAGAGCATATTTTTGTGGATGACCTGCAGCTCTCCCATACTGCTAGCATTATTGGAATAAATGCTCCTATATGATTCAACCATGCCTCTGCTTAGTTGGCTCAAGTAGTGACAGGAAGCCGGGAGTACTTGGTTGTCAGTTTACACATTCAGTAGCTATTTGGTGAAGGGCTCTGCACAGTGACATCCATAATTGAGAATGTTGAATCAACGATGATAGCTTCCATTGTTTCTCCCTTTAATTTTGTTGATATTTCCATTTATTGTTTGAAGTTCCATTATTAAATGCATGCAAGTTTATAGTTATCTATTTCTGTGATTTCAGCCTTTTGTCATTAAATCAGATGTGGAAGGAGTAACCAAAGGAGAGGGGACAGTGGTCAGATCTACTTGGTAAAGCAATGTTTAAAATAAGAATAATACAAGTATCAGATCCAAAGAGTAAGATTAAGACTGACTCAATAATTGCTGAAGGAATGAAAAATAAGCCGCAGTTCCTATTTTATAAATTTATTCAAAAAATATGTATTGGATGCCAAATATTAATCTAGGTTCTGGGAAACAATGGTGAACAAAATGGAAACATTTTTAGGTGTACCGGACCGAATGGGGCCGTTTGCCTGTGCTCCTCAAAGCCCAATAAGACATGAACAAGCGTTTGCAGCCAAGAAAGTAAAGATTGATTCAGGTGCCATACCTGAAGTCCCAGGTAGCTCATACCCAAACATCTGGCTCCCTGATGGCTTCTAAAGGTCAGGTTATAAAGGGGAACAATCAATAATCATGGTGATGGAGTTAGTAAGGTAACCAGACGTCCCGCTTTTGGCAGGATAGTCCTGATTTTTAACAATTTGTCCCACGTCCAGCGGCATTTTTAAAAAGTCCAAAAGATTTAAAAGAATCTTTCCAAAAATTGGGACTTTTTTAAAACGCTGCAGGACTGTGGGACAAATTGTTAAAAATCGGGACTGTACCACCAAAAGCGGGACGTCTGGTCACCTTAATAGGGTCATGGTGAGAGTCCTGGTCTCTACTAATTGGTCAGCCTTAGAGTAGTGGTGGGGTAGTTGATCACTGCATCGGATCCTGAAGTCAACCATGGCATTACTGAGACTGGTTTCACAAGCATGTGGTCAGTCAATAGGGTTGTTCTGGAGCTGAAACTCAACTGAGGCCTAGATGTTTTCTCTAGTTTAACTAGTTTCTCTGTGGTCAACAATCCTGAGGCTTTGTTCCTAAGACTACTGGATGCTGACCAGAACCTCTTTGGCTTAATGATTAAGCAAGGGAAAGGGAGGGAAGTGAGTTAGGGTCCTAGGTGAGGCCAGTTCAAGTCAAAGAAAAAAAAGGGGTGGGAGGCATATTAAAGAAAATAAGGTTTCTGCGTGTTATTACATAGAGAGCATATGTCCTAGCAATTCTTGTAATAAATTCAACAGTTCTATTTCTAAGTATTTCTCCTACAAATATACTCACTCTCCTGGGTATGAACTTGTGGCAGAATGGTAAGAACCTAGGGAAATTACTGGGCAAGTAGAATAGAGGAACCAATCCGAAACCGGTTTGGCTCAGTGGATAGAGCGTTGGTCTATAGACTGAAAGATCCCAGGTTCGATTCCGGTCAAGGGCATGTACCCTGGTTGCGGGCACTATCGCTAGTAGGAGGTGTGCAAGAGGCAGCTAATGGATGATTTTCTCTCATCGATGTTTCCAACTCTCTATCCCTCTCTCTTCCTCTCTGTAAAAAATCAATAATTTTTCTTGGTTTCTCTCTATATAAAGAATAGAGAAACTGAGATAAGAAAATTAAACAAAGCCAAATAGTTTGGGCAGCTTGCATCCAAGTTGTGAAATGAAAGACCTTATCTTCTCCAACCAAGTGCACTTGAGAGGAAGTGATTAATATCTCTCCTCCTTAACCAAAAAATACATAGCTTAAATCACCTTGGAACTGCTAAGGCAGGAGGAGAAAAGGGGGAAGGAAAAAGAGGAAATTTGTCTCACACACTACACAAAGAAGTCAGCTGCCTTAGGATTTGCCATACAAGACATCTGGTGTTTGTATAAGCATTCTAAAATAAGCCACAACAATGTAGCCCAGGACTTTGAAACCTAATCTGCTACCCAAGATATCTGACAGAGGAACTTTGAAACCTATAGGGAGAAGGGGAATAAAACCCCTTGAACCCCCACTGGACATGTGCTCAGATTAGCTGGGTGGTCCACTTTTACTATATGCAAAGTATATTTTTAATACATTTGCATTCAGGGCCAGTCTCAGAGACACATGGGAAGGACAAGACACATGTTTTAAACTATTGATAGATAATTTTAATAAAACCTCTTGGTTACAGACTTCCAAGCTGACATAGCTCAGACAAATATTACACTACTAGAGGCCTGGTGCACGAAATTTGTGTAGAGGGGAGGGGTGTCCAATCTGGGACCCTTCAAGGGATGTCTGACTGCCCTCTCACAATTCAGGACTGCTGGCTCCCAACCTCTTGCCTGCCTGACTGCCTGATCAGCTCCTAACCACTCCCTTGCCAGCCTGATTGACCCTGACTGCCTTCCCCTGCTGGCCTGGTCATCCCTAACTGTCCTCCCCTGCAGGCCTGCTCACCCCCAACTGCCTGCCCCTGCTGGCCTGATAGCCCCCAACTGTCCTCTCCTGCAGGCCTGATTGCCCCTAACTGCCCTCTTTTGCAGGGCTGGTCCCCAAGCTGTCCTTCCCTACAGGCCCGGTCGCCCCCAACTGCCTTTCTCTGCTGGCCCGAGGAGGGCATATTACCTCTTTATTATAAAGGATTATATAGGATATCAGTGATTAAGTCAGGGTTTCTAGGACTCTTTAGTCTGAAAGCAGATGGCTTCTTGAAAGCAGTTCACTGACTCAAGAACAATTACAGAGAACTAAATGAACCAATGAGTGAAATTTAATTATGGTTACTTGTTTGAAATATTGTTTTACAATCGTAATGTTCTATTTTTAGGGATATGTGAGAAAGCCCTTTTTTAATTCTTAGCCTATCTCTGGATTTCAATTTGGTGGGCTCTGCTTTTATCAACTGGAATTTTAAAATGGTATCTGATTCTCACTGAGTCTCCACAATTCAGAAGCATCCACGGTTCTCCTTACATTTTATGGCAATGTTCAAAAGGAATTGGTACTCCTATTTCCCAGGATATAATTGAAGAAATTGATTGTGTAACCAAGGCCATGTCATTTTTTAAAATAAATCTCATTTAATTAGCTATGACTAGCCCACTCATAAACAAGTTGACTTTATATTTAGAATCAATGCCTATAAATTATCCCAGTAAATCAGAAATAGTACCTGGCTTACAGGGTTCCAGTTTTACAGGTAGGGTCCTTCTTGGCAAGCCAGGAACCTTAGTACACTTTGGAGAAGCTGAGGAGAGAAATTCACCCAAATTCTTAGATCCTACTGGAGAAATCTGGTGGAAAGTTTCTTGGACTTGGTTTCCTAGCCCTTAGGTAGCAAATTATGGAG